AATATACCATCAAAAATAATTTTTACTATGTATTATCTAATAAAATGTAATTTATCTAGTCATTATTTCAGCAACATGTGTAGGGTTGTAAACGAGTCGAGTCGAGCCGAGCTTGAGCTTAAGGTGTTTGAGATCGAGCTCGGCTCGTTAATTAAACGAGCCAAAAATAGAGCTCGATCCACTACAAGAATAATCAGTTTTAGTGACGATAATTTTTGTCACTATGTCGTCACAAAAAATACCGTCACAATAAGAAGTATTACTGTGACGACATTCGAACATATAGCGACAATATTAGGACATTATTAGCGACGGTATCTTTTCTGACGACATAGCGACAAAAATTATCGTCACTAAAAATGATTATTCTTGTAGTGATCTCGGCTCATTAAGGCCTCGAGCTCGAGCTTTAACGAGCCGATCTCGAGCTTTATCGAGCCGAACTATAAAAAAATATATCAATTTCACCTTTCAAGCCTTAACGAGCCGAGCTTAGCTCATTAACCAAACGAGTTTTAAATGAGCTCGAGCTCGGCTCGTTCGAACTCGAGCATTAACGAGTCGAGATCGAGCCGACCCGAGCCGAGCCAGGCTCGTTTAATTTAACAACACTAAACATGCGTATGAAATTAAATTTGTTATGTTAAATTTTATCATGGATGTAAAATTAATAATATAATTTGAGAAAGCTAGATAAATAAAAAATAAAATTTATCATCGCCTCTTTTAATTTTCTATATGTAAGTTTGTAACATGTTATGTTTGACACCAACTTTTTTACCATTAAAATTTTTATATAACACTAATAAAAATTTTGTTATTATTTTATAATTAATAGTGATGATATTCTTTTTGTCGCTAATTTTGTTATTTTTTTGTGACAACAGTACGCTAACACTAATATCTATGCTGTATTATTAGCGATGACTTCATAAGTCGTCACTATTAAAAAAATGTATTATTGAAGACATTTTTTTCATGCTGGCGATATAATAAACACAAACATTTAGTGATGAAGAATAGTGTCGAAAAATAAAGTTGTCACTAATAACTAGGAGTTCAACAATTTTATGACATTACAAAATATTGTCACTATATACATGGTTGTAGTTATGAAATTAATGTCGTCACTAAAATTATCATCACTAATAATGATTATTCTTGTAGTGATCCACCAGTCCCACCGGCTCGTCACCGGCACTTCAGTTGTCGTCACCACCGTCCTCGCCTTCCAGGCCACCTGACGTTCCTTCACCTGCAACGCCACCCCATATTCCTTACTCTGAGCCTAGAAAAAAAAAATCACAGCATTCATCCACTTGCTCAACGCCGGCAACGACGGGTCGCTGTGGCTACGACGGGACCATTCGCGTCGGCCTGCACACATTGTGTGTTTGTGCGTAACATGTGGTGGATCTGGGAGGAGAAGATGAAAGCTATCGTCGGTTGCGGCAGAAGGTGGAGCAGCTGGTGGTGTAGGAGATGGTGGCGGTGGGCTGTAGACTGGCGGGGGAAGAATTTTGATGGCAGCGGCGTATGTCTATGGCCGGCGGTGGTCGTCGGTGGACTGTGAGTGTGTAGGCTCTATGGACTACCGTCCTGGTGTGCCCGGAAGTCGAAAGCGACGCGACGGACAGGCGGCGGATGGCGGAGGCGAGGTGGCGGGCAGTTGACGGCAGCCTGTAGTTGTTGCCGGAATTGTGTGTGTATGTGTGTGTGTGTGTGTGTGTGAGAGAGAGAGAGAGAGAGAGAGAGAGAGAGAGAGAGAGAGATGTGCGTGAGTTGTTGGTGTGTGTGTGTGTGTTTTAGTGGGTGAGAGAGAGATTGGTGTGAGGTCAACATGAGGTGTAATTTTTGTCATGTCCATTATACCCTTAATTTGATGTTAATTGCACATATTTGACCATGAATGTTTAAAGTATCTATTTACTATATAATTAGGGAACTCACCTTCCTTTTTTAGAAAGGTCATTTTAAAGGTCCCACTATGTAGTTTCTAATTTAGGGAAGTCTGAAAACCGTCAGCACACGTCAATAGTTTTGGTTAAGTTATTGTACATGGACATTTTCGTGATGGGGTGGAAATCAACACACCCCAAATTTTTATATTTAATTTTTTTTCTTCAAATATTATTCATTATAAAGTGGATTTTTCATTTCATTTATCAAAAAAAAAAAAAAAATCACATACACAGATCTCTAGGCACAACACAAGGTCTATAGAATTAAGTCACTGATCACAAAGTTTTATATATCACAGGTATCAATTTATGATTAATTCTCACATATTATTTTGAATATGATTACATTCATCATAATATTATATTTCACATTCATATAGCATAAAAATATTTCACATGCATATAGATAAAAATAGATTGAATTTTGAAATTCAAACTGAAATAAATAATATGCAAGATACTTCCATTCAATTTGTAGTTAGTTGAATATAATAGTCTAACATGTTGTTCATTATGTTAGTTTTGTAATATAAGTAGTTTATATATAATTAATTTTTCTATCCACAACAAAAATCATATATCTGACCAAATAAAATTAAAACAATTTATCTGTATTGTTGTTTACAAAAAGCACTGAAGTTTTCAATACACCGAATTTCGGTTGTTTCACTTTTAATAATTGTCGTATAAGATAAATGCATTCCTTATATTTCATATTCAGGTTTGTTATCATGTTTACGATTAACTTTCAAAACAAGTCAAAACCAATATAAAAATCTTCCTTCCTTAATACATATTGTTTTACTTATTGGTATGATATATGTCTATGCTGTATATAAATTGGCCAATATAGTTAATAATATATTTTAATTTTTATTTTCTTAAAGCTACAAAATTAACATTTGAATCAAGAAGATTCATATGAAGCAGTGCAAATGGAATTTGAAGGAAGACATTGTTTTTGTTTCGAGCTGAACTTCATTGTTGAACCAAACAGACGATATTACTCAACCGTTTTAAAGCAAAAAAACCAACTTTCATGGACACGTACATGTTATAAAAAAAAAATAATAAATTACATGGACTTTTATAACTACATCTCACAATAATTATTTACATATCAATATGATAATCTTATTACTATCAAATAATATAGAATACGAATTATGATATTCTTATTTAAATAATATATTTTTATACTTCCCGTGCATTTGCACGGGCAAAAAGACTAGTTTACTAGAATGCCATCATATGTTTGACAGATATAATTAGAGTTTGACTTCATCATGACTATTAACTTGATTGATCCAATGATCCAAATTCATTTTTATTTCTTTCATTGTCTACCATTCTCATATGATCTTAACTATATTTTAATATATATATATATATATTGTCTTAACTCTATTTTAATATATATATATAATATATATGTATATATTTTAATATATATATATATATGTATATCTTTTAATATATTATATATTTATATTCTTTAATATATCGCTTTCATAATAGTTATATAAATTAATTTTTTTTAAGTCAAATTTTAAATTAATGATAGGAATTAATTAAATTAATTATAATAACATTTGTTGTTAATTATAATAATTACTAATTAATTTCAAATTTAATAATTTTTGTAATAACTATTATAATAGTAATTAATTTATTTTATCATATTTACAAATTTATTATTATTATTATTATTATTATTATGATAATTAATATAATTTTTTAATTACTTTTTATAATATTTTGTTTATTAATATAATACATTTTTCTTTTAGATTATAATTGTTATTATTTATGCTAATATTTTTATTTTATAATATTTAGTAATTTATTATAATTATGAAATTTAATAAATTTTTTAACCAATAAATTAATTATTTTAATTTATTATTTATTACTATTATAATATTAATTATTAATTATATATAATTATTTTAATTTTTAATTTAAGAAAATTGTTTTATTCTTCGCCCGCGGGCCGTACGCAATCACGGACTGTACGGCCCGACCGCGTCCGGTAGCGTCGGCCGAATGCGGCTTCTGCATTTTATAAAAAAATTGAAAAATAATTTACATTGTAAAAAAAAGCATTACATTGCTAGAGAAATTTTTTTTACCGAGGTCGTGAGATTTTTTGACATTTTTCAGAATTTTTTTGAAGTTCCAATCAGTGTTTTGTGACCCGGACCGGACCGGCGGGTCGACCCGGGACCCGGTCTACCCGGAGCCGGAACCGGTCCGGGTGGGTTAATTGGACCGGAAAACAACGGACCCGGTCAAAACCCGGTTGACCCGGCCTTGACCCGGCCGACCCGGGGCATTGACCCGGCTGGGTCAACCCGGTTGACCCGGTCTATATGTATTTTTTTATTTTTTTTTGTTTTTTAATTTTCTTTTTCTTTTTAAAAAATAAAATTATGTATATATATTTATAATAAAAATACATACATATTATTACCACTTTAATCTACAAATTTTACATACAAAATATTTAAATTTGTTATTTTTATGTATATTTATATATCACAAAATACTCTATATATAATTTTAAAATTAATTATCCGGTTCAGCAATTGACCCGGTGACCCGGCGGTTGAACCGGTGACCCGGTGACCCGAAGACCTGTCCGGGTCGATTACCGGGCCGGGTTTAAAAACTATGGTTCCAATAGCAAAGTTTCAAAAATTTAGAGAGATAGAGAGAGAGGACTTAGAGTAAAATTGTAAAAAATGACGGTACGTAGTAACTAGGGGTGAATTGCGATTTACAAACCTATACCGTTTCTTTAAAAAAAAAAAAGAAAAAGAAAAGAAATATCCACTGATCTCTGGAAACATCGGAGCTACCACCAAACACGTTCTCAACCTTTATCACGCCTAAACCCTCGTAGAACTCTCTAGAACGCCCGCCTGCTTTTATTAAGCTCCTCTGACGCTCACTTTATCCTCCACCTCATTTTGATTTGTAAGTTGTAATCGCTATTAGATTTGCCTGTAGCTTTTCTTTTCTCGAGCCAATAAGAGAATGGAGGACGATTTCGATATGACGCCAGCGGAGGGACTCGATGACGACATGGATCTGCCGGAGGGGAGCACCTACATGAAGGTCGGAGAGGAGAAGGAGATCGGCTCGCAGGGACTGAAGAAGAAGCTTGTTAAGGAAGGTGAAGGCTGGGATACTCCGGATAATGGCGATGAAGTAGAAGGTAATTAGCGTTTTCACTTAACGAAATTCACGTATTTCTTCTTTTTCTTTATATCGATTATGATGAACCTGTTTTTTTTTTTTTTTCCTCTCCCCTTTATATCGGTTTCTTGTTTTATTAATCTGAATGAACTTACGGTGCAGTTCACTACACTGGGACGCTGCTGGATGGGACAAAGTTCGACTCCAGCCGAGATCGGGGGGCACCTTTCACTTTCACTCTCGGTCAAGGTTAGAAGACTTCATTTTGAGCTTCGGTTCTTTTGTTTCGATCCAATTGTTTATTTATTCGAATAAAATGTACGAATTAATCAAGAAGGCAAGTATGAATTAGTCAAGACGCCAAGGATGGAGCAAACTTGCCACATTTTTTGTCAATGGCTGCTAATACTGGCAGTATATGTCTTAGAGGTCTATTCAGTCTGGCATGAGAATAACTATGCATACGCTGTCAGCTGAGCTGTAGGTAAATTGTTTTTGGAAGGTTCTTGGTTGAATGTTCTATAGAAATCCAAGCGAGTGCATGGCTAGCGGGTCTTCCCGAAATTATGTACTTAAATGTAGTGGGGTTATGTCATTATATGCAGGTGACTAAATTGAAGTTTTCAGGCTTGCCTATACATATATTGATTAAGTCATGGCCAGTGGGTCTTTCCGAAAGTTATGTACTTAAGTGTAGTGGGGTTATGTCCTTATACGCAGGTGACTAGATTGAAGTTTTCAGGCTTGCCTATACCTTCATTGATTAAGCTATGGCCGTGGCTTTTGCTACGATGATATGTGCTTTTACATGATTCAGTACTTTGATAATAGTAGCCATCATTGTGTAGTTGTATAATAGAATTGAGTTAACACTTTCTGACCGAATAGGGTAGTGAAAATTGAGCGAGGGTAGCAAATTTATACTTGTTGGGAAGATTCATGTGGTTGCTTATGTTATTTTATTGATCCATATAACTAGTAGGACAACATTGTGGATGCCAGCTTTATACAAGTATTTTTTGTTTTCTTCTTTGAATGTTGTTATGAGCTGCATTTTAAAATTTTCCATTTTCAGCTTTTACGAATAATATTGTTGCTTATGAATTGTTAAATTCTGTGACAGGCCAAGTCATCAAGGGATGGGATCAAGGTATTAAGACAATGAAGAAGGGTGAAAAGGCCATCTTTACCATACCACCAGAGTTGGCCTATGGCGAATCAGGCTCACCCCCTACCATCCCTGCAAATGCGACTTTGCAGTTTGATGTTGAGTTACTGTCCTGGGTCAGTGTCAAGGATATCTGCAAGGATGGTGGCATATTCAAGAAGATTGTCAAAGAGGGAGAAAAGTGGGAGAACCCCAAGGATGATGATGAAGTGCTTGGTATGCCGGCATTTGCTTTTTAAAATTATATTTAATTTATTGTAATTGTAATGTAATACTGACTTCAATTTTTTTTACCTATGATTTAGTCAACTATGAAGCGAAACTGGAAGATGACACTGTTATATACAAAGCGGATGGTGTTGAGTTCACTGTTCGGGAAGGTACGATCATGAAAATATCCTGTCATGATAAATTATGCCTTTTCTTCTCTTTTTCTTTTATTCTGTTTTGATTTCCCAATGTCATTTACTTTCCATGATCAGGTCATTTTTGTCCGGCTATAACCAAGGCTGTGAAAACAATGAAGAAAGGTGAAAAGGTTCTTCTTTCCGTCAAACCGCAATGTAAGGAATTCCTCTTGAATTATAAAAATCCTGGATTGGAAATTTTGATGACACAGAGTTGTTGATCCTTAAATTGCTACTTCTATGGCAGATGGGTTCGGTGAGAAAGGAAAACCAGCCTCAGGTGACGAAGTTGCAGTTCCGCCCAATGCTAACTTGAACATAATTATGGAGTTGGTGTCCTGGAAGACAGTTTCTAGTGTAACAGATGACAAGAAAGTAATGAAGAAAATACTGAAAGAGGGGGAGGGTTATGAGCGCCCAAATGAAGGAGCGGTTGTCAAATGTAAACTTTTTAATGCAACTTCTATTATTCTTGAAAATATGACAAAACTAACGTATAGCTTAAGAATAGCTAGGAAGAATAGCTAGGAGACGGTCCTAACCTTGAACAAAGAGTTGAAGATTTAATTCAATATCTATATATTATTTTTATAGCTAATTTGGTAGGCAGTGAAATCTAATCATATTTTTGTAAATCTTTGGCCAGTAAAACTGACAGGAAAGCTGCACGATGGAACAGTATTTGTTAGGAAAGGCCACGGGGAAGATGAAAGTGATCTTTTTGAGTTCAAGACTGATGAAGGTATGCAGAAACTCTGACTTTGTTCTCTGCCTTAAACAATATTGTTTATACGGGTTCTAAGCTGCTGTTTCACCGTCTCCAAATCAGAGCAAGTAATTGAGGGATTGGACAGGGCTGTCATTACAATGAAAAAGGGAGAGGTAGCGCTCTTGACTATTGCCCCCGAGTACGCAATTGGTTCTTTTGAATCAAAACAAGAGTTGGCAACAGTTCCTGCAAACTCGACTTTGTACTATGAAGTTGAGCTTGTTTCATTTGTTAAGGTCAGTTAATGATTGGCTTTTGAGTTTTCTGGTTTCATGATAGTTTCAAAAGCATTCACAAGGGGCCTGATAGTTTCACAACATGGAAAATGCAATTGTGACTCACCATATACTAATTAGATGCTATCAGATAATAATGCTGGTATTTTGGAATTAGTTGTCCTAAGACTTAAAGGAAGTATTTGTTATGAGAATTTATCTAATAATCATGCTTGCTGTTTATCCTTCAGGAAAAGGAGTCGTGGGATATGAACACTGAAGAAAAAATTGAGGCAGCTGGTAAGAAGAAGGAAGAAGGGAATGCTCTGTTTAAAGCTGGGAAATATGTTAGAGCTTCAAAAAGATACGAGAAGGTACTTGTTAAACGAGTGGTGTTCAGTCAATTTCAATAGCTGGCCTATTTCTCTAGGCTTACATGAAGAATTTAACACAGGCTGCCAAATATATTGAGTACGACACTTCATTTAGTGAGGAGGAGAAGAAACGCTCCAAGGTCCTGAAAGTGACCTGCAACTTAAACAATGCTGCTTGCAAGTTGAAATTGAAAGACTACAAGAATGCAGAGAAGCTGTGCACCAAGGTTGGATTTACATTCTCCCTCTTTATCTTCTGACTTAATTGCTGTGTTGTTTCCTATGTTGCCATTATGTGAACACCGAATGCGATTAAGCATGAACTGTTGGAGAAGGCCTCTTATGAAAATCTCGCAAAATCATTAGCGTAGTACAAAAACACTTATAAACTTGAAGTTGTATATTTATTTCCCACTTGTTTGGTGTAATTTGGAGCACGGTATGGTTTGTAGCACAACAATATACATCATACATCATGTGTCTTGGTCATGTGTGCTGTAAGATGAATTGTTGGCTGAGTATTCTGGTGAGTAGACATGGCCAAGGGCTGTCCGCCACCCTGGACCCGGCCCAGCCCGGCCCGGTCAAATCTGTTGACCATGGGTTCGGGACCAGACCGGATTTCCGAAGCTGTCATAATATCCGCGTGCGCCCCCCTATTCTCTCCTCAAGGGCCGTGTTAGGGTTGTGACCTGGCCCGGGTTTTGGCCATGTCTACTAGTGAGTATACTTTTATCGAGTTAGTGTAAGTTCTTTGAGCTGAAATGGAAGTTGCACCGAAGGTCTTGGAGCTTGAGAGCACGAATGTGAAGGCACTGTACAGAAGAGCTCAAGCATACATGAACATGGCAGATTTGGATTTGGCTGAACTGGACATTAAGAAAGCTCTTGAAATTGACCCCGATAACAGGTTATCCCGGATATTGATGTATTTTTTTTATAAGTTGCAATTTTCTAGATATTTGTGTGAAGACACCCTTGGGCTTATTTTGTTGTCTTATAATCAGGGATGTGAAGCTTGAACATAAAGCACTGAAGGAAAAGGTCAAGGAGTTCAATAAGAAGGATGCCAAGTTTTATGGCAATATGTTTGCCAAACTGAACAAGCTGCAGCCATTTGATGCTAATGTAAGTTTTACTTGTAGACAATCGTTTCTTTTTCCTGTTTAAATGTGCTGTTCTTGGCTTAAACATGATTGTTCTTAGCTTGATATATTTGTTGCTATTGATATGACTGTTCTGTACAGAATGCGTCACCTAAGGAGGGCGAGCCTATGAGCATTGACAGCAAGGCATAGAGTGATGCACAACAACCTTGCTTAGGTCAACATGATTCACTTGTTTCTTTATATTCATTGTGGTTGAAAGAGCTGCAATTGTGTTTCTTCATTGTGGGATTTGGTCTGTTATGTGTAGTCTCAGACTGCGTGGATTGTATGCCCTGTGACATGTTTTCTGAGTTAAAGAGGTTTGTTTTTTTTTTT